AGGCCGGGCGGCGGGACTCAGCCTCAGCTGGCTCCTGGTCGCCCCCGTCAGGCGCCAACAGCGGCATCGGCAAGATGACAGCCCTGGAGCTGGCGCGTCGGGGAGCTCGTGTGGTGCTGGCCTGCCGCAGCCGGGAACGTGGGGAGGCTGCTGCCTTTGACCTTCGCCAGGTGAGAGAAAGCGGGGATGAAGGACACTGTAAGCCCAGGACACATCCGGACACAGGGGCATCGGGACACGCTCAGGGATCCAGTTCCTGAGAGGAGACAGCAGCTTTTTATAAGCACAAAAGTGGGTGTACAGTGTGCTCTTGTCCCATAGGGAAGGAACACCAGAACTGAGTAGGGAAGGAGGCTTCCAGTAGATAGGAATTGCTGATCTGAAACGTAGGATCAGTAGGAGTTAGGTTAAGCAGAGTAGCAGGAAAGGGAACCGGATATTCAAAGGTCCTGGGGCTAGAGTCAGATTTAAGAAACTGGAGGAAAAAAATTTAATGAGTCTGAAGCACAAGAACTATAAGGAAGATGGGGAAAGTGAAGAGGCTGCAAGCCAGGGCCAGGTTCTGAAGGACATTAAAGATACTATTTAGGAGTTTGGACTTTATTGGATGGGCAGCATAGCTCAGGAAAGGTATTCAGAGGGTTCTGGACTGTAAGAATAGCCTTTTGGAATGAAGCCTTTGTGGCTATGTTGTGCCTGGACTGAAGGAGAAAAGAGTGGATAAGAGAAGACAGATGAAAAGTCTGTTACAGATTTTAGGATAAGTGATAAAGAGGAGAGGCGATGCCAAGAATAATAGCAAATACCTACACAATACTAACTGCAGGTTTTTTACATATATTAATTCATTTAATCCTCACAACAACTCTCGGATAGGTACTGTTATTCCCATGTTACAGTGAGAAAACTGAGGCCTAGAGCAATTAAATATCTTGCCCAAAGTCATACTCCATTGAGAGACAAAATCAGAATTGGAATCCGTTATCCATTACACTTGAATGAATAGAGGTAGGTTTTAGTAATAGTAAGAGGTGGACCCTCAGAATTAGGTCCCTGGGAAGAGGGAAGAGGAGAGAGGTGCTTGGTGACAATCCCAGCCCTTGCCGCTCCACAGGAGAGTGGGAACAATGAGGTCATCTTCATGGCCTTGGACTTGGCCAGTCTGGCCTCGGTGCGGGCCTTTGCCACTGCCTTCCTGAGCTCTGAGCCTCGGCTGGACATCCTCATCCACAATGCCGGTGAGGGGCAGCAGGCCCTGCAAGGGGTGGGGGGTGGCCCTGCCGGGGGCCAGTACACACAATGGGAAGGATCCTCCCTACTCCCTTCTCACAGATGGGGATGCCGAAGCCTTCAGGGCTCCTTCTGAGCATTGACTCACACCTAGCCCCTGCCCCAGGGATCAGTTCCTGTGGCCGGACCCGGGAGGCCTTTAACCTGCTGCTTCGTGTGAACCACATTGGCCCCTTCTTGCTAACACATCTGCTGGTGCCACGCCTGAAGACTTGCGCCCCTAGCCGTGTGGTCATGGTATCTTCAGCTGCCCATCAGCGTGGGCGCCTCGATTTCACCCGCCTGGACCGCCCAGTGGTGGGCTGGCAGCAGGAGCTTCGGGCATATGCTGACAGCAAGCTGGCCAACGTATTGTTTGCCCGGGAGCTCGCCACCCGGCTTGAAGGCACTGGTGTCACCTGCTATGCAGCCCACCCAGGTAAGGCCTGGCTTTTTGCTCTTCCTGATTTTCCCATCCTCTGCTCCTAAAGCCTGTCATTGAATTAAGCAATCTCAAAGCAGGAAAGAAGCATGGCCCAAGGAGAGACATGGTCCTTGCTGATCTGGGAACCAGGTTCCCCTCATCTAGGTTCTTCCTCTCACACCACAAGCATGGATGCTGGCCACTGGTGTGGGGAGGGGCTGGCAAGAATACCACCTGGGTTCTCCCTCTGCAGATCCAACTATACAGATGGGACTGACTGTAATATAATGACGATGATGACAGTGTTAATAGCCAATAATTATTTACTCATTCATAGAGCATTTACTGATTACCTACTACATATCAGGCATTATTCATGATGTTAGGGTTATGACAATAAACAAAACATAGGCTTTGGCCCAGAGATATACCTGAGTGGTAGAGCTTGTGCTTAGCATGCACAAGACTCAGGAGTCAGTCCCCAGCATGCACACACAAACACACACACACACACACACACACACACACCAAGGGCCTACCCTCATAAAGTCTGCATTCTACCTTGGGGGAGGGAGAGATAGCTGATAAATATACACATAACAATGACACATGGTAATAACTTTGGGGAAAGATAAAACAGGTTAAGGGGAGTTTGATATTCAAGGAGGTGCTATTTCATGAGTGGCAGGTAAAGAAAACATCTGAAAATGTGACATTTAACCAGAGGCCTGAAGGAGATGACAGGTGAACTAAGTATCTTTCTGGAAAGAAGCTCAAAAAAGGAAGGGAGCAAATAGCAAGTGTAAAGCCCCTGAGGCGGAAGTTCTGGTGTGCTTCAGGAAGGCTGTTATGGAGAGCACAAAGTAAAGGGAAAGAGTGGTAAGCGATGAAATGGTAGAAATGGGTTTGGAGGTTCACTATAACATTTTGGCTTTTTTTTTTTTTTTTTTTTTTTTTTTTTTTTTTTTGTACTGGGGATCAAACTCAGGACCTCACACTTGTGAGGCAGTCAGTGGAACCACTGAGACCCCGACATTTTGGCTTTTACTGGGATTATAGGCATATACTGTACCACAATGTCCAGCCCACCATAGGTTCTTCTTTCTTTCTTTCTTTCTTTCTTTCTTTCTTTCTTTCTTTCTTTCTTTCTTTCTTTCTTTCTTTCTTTCTTTCTTTCTCCCTCCTGTGGTACTGTGAATTGAACTCAGGGCCTTTACACTGAGCTACATTCCCAACCTTTTTTTACTTTTTCATTATGAGACAGGGTCTTGGTAAATTGCCCAAACTCAGGCTCATTGTCCTGTCTCAACCTCCCAGAGTACTGGGACTATAGGCATGCACCATCATGCCTGGCTACACCATAGCTTCTTTTTTTCTTTTTCTTTCTTTCTTTTTGTTTTTTTGAGACAGGGTCTCACTATGTAGTTGAGACTGACCTAGAACTCACTAGCCACAACAATCCTCCTGCCTCAGCCTCCCGAGTGCTGGGATTACAGGCATGAGCCACCACACCCAGCTCAACCATAGCTTTTTTTTGTTTTTTGTTTTTTTGGTTTTTTGAGACAAGGTCTCACTATGTAGTTGAGACTGACCTCTAACTCACTATGTAGCCCAGGCTGGTCTTGAACTCACAGTGATCCTCCCGCCTCAACCTCCCGAGTGCTGGGATTACAGGTGTGCGCCACAACACCCAGCCCAATAGCTTCTTAATCAATACTGTTAAATAAAGGAACAGTGTTAGAGCTAGAAGAAAAATGGAGATTAGGAGGCAGGGGACACAACATTATCAAAATCTAGGAGATGAGGGTAGGCAAGCAGTTTGGATGGAGGGAAGGAAGGTTCCTGCAGGAAATGAGCAAAGTCACCTTGAGGGGGACCCTGAATGTGTGGTAGATACTATTCTAGTTTCTCTGGAACCAGATTCTGTCCCCCACTTCCCTGTCAGCTTTCTTTTCATTCCTTGTGCCCTGGGCCCGCAGCCACCATTCTCCCCAACTCCATTCTTTCTTCGTATCCATAGGACCTGTGAACTCTGAGCTATTCCTGCGCCATGTTCCTGGATGGCTGCGCCCACTTTTGTGCCCATTGGCCTGGCTGGTGCTCCGGACACCCAAAGGAGGTGCCCAGACACCGCTGTACTGTGCTCTACAAGAGGGCATTGAGCCCTTCAATGGGAGATATTTTGCCAACTGCCATGTGGAAGAGGTGCCCCCAGCTGCCCGAGATGACCATGTAGCCCACCAGCTATGGGAGGCCAGCATGAAGTTGGCAGGGCTTGGGCCTGAGGAAGAGGAGGAACCTGATGAAGAACCTCAGCCGAAAGACCTATCTTTATTGAGCACCCCGTACTTTGGGGAGCCCACAGTTTCTGAACCCTCTTCCCCTGGTCCTCAAAGATCACCAGACTTGTCCACAGTGATCCACCGAATTCAGGTGAAAGCTGAGCCTGACACCCAAGTCTCCTAACCCCCAGGCTAAGATGCTTTTTGTGACACTCCTTGACCCCTGGAAACCACAAATGTGTGCCAGGCCATGCCCTGGGCACTGAGGGGTTTGCCATTTTTGCCTCCATGGTTACTTTCTGGAGGCTCTGTGTGTGTCCTGGAAGGAAATAATGACTATTTCTTCCTGAGAGGGATAGTAACTCCTGATTCAGGAGTAGATGGTAATGTGCTTCTCTAGAATTTAAATTTCAGATTTCTAGGCCCTACCCTGGGTAGTTCAGATCAGATCTGGGGCAGAGCCAGGGAATTTGTGATTTGATGCACTGCCAACACTGAGGACTGAAACTGAGCCCTTTGCAACCGTCTTGATAGGTAGTTAAATTATCCCATTTTGGCTGAGCATAGTGGCGTGAAGGCCTGTGATCCTAGCACTCCAGACCCAGAGGCAGAAGGATCTCTGTGAGTTTTGAGTCCAGCCTGGGCTACATAGTGAGACCCTGGCTCCAAATAAAATTATCCCATTTTACAGTGGTGGGATGAGGTCCGCAGGAAAGGACTCGCCCAACCCAAAGACTAAAGCAGTAAGAACAGGGACTGCAATTTGAGCCCAGGAGTCTTAACACCAGAACCCGTTACTATGTGGTGGTGCCCCGAGGTGGAGAGGGACAGTGGTTTATCGAGGTACGGGAGAAGCCCTCCGGGGTTCCTGGGGGCTGGGTCCCTTAGTGTGGAACCGCTATAATAAAACGAGTTGACTCCCTGGGCTCGCGCTGTCTCCTGCCTCTCTCAACATGCCGGCCCCGCCCTCCGCCGCCACACTTCCGGCGGGCTGAGACCACGGAGGGGCGCGC